CACTTTATATGAATTTGTGAAATATCGAAAGCGATACCTGGGATTTGACACAAAACGTGTATGTTGGAAAGAGACCTTCCTCACCTCACAGGCAGTCACAAATCTCTGTTGACTTTGTTAGGGGCAGGTGTAACACACCCTGCCCCCCCCCCCCCCCCCCCCCCCCCCAAGAGTTGTCATAACAAACCTGCCCAGCTCTCACCTCGCTGGGCAGATACGATGCTTCATCACTAGAGACCCTCCTCTTGGAATTGCCCCCTACGCAGACACACACGCTTGTCTTCCCAGGCAACTTTTTTTAAACAGCTACAAAGCCAAAGGGAAAGCAACAAACTATTGCACTGTCCCCTGTTTTCCAAAAGAGGAGGGGGTAAAAATTGCAGCCTGGTTGAAAGGCAGCATCTGAACCCGGAGGAGCCTCGCAGGGCACAGACCCCGACCCTGTGCACACTGCCACTGCTTTCCCATTACACAGCCGGGAGCAAAGCAGCCCTCCTCAAAGCCAATCACTCAGACACTTGGATCACTGATAGGACTTTGCTGACTGCTCTTTGAGGATTAAAGTTGCCAGGTACCACCTCACGGTGCTGCCGAATGGCAGCTTCTGGTAATGTTTCGATTAGACACCTCTGTCTAGTGTTTCTTTTTTTGATGTGTACTGAAAGGATTGGAAGAACTGAGCAGGTACCTTAGCTTAATACTCCCATGTATTTCAAGATTATTAAAAACGTGACTGGTCTGGTGCAGATGATGGCTTCTAGAGAAGATCTTTCCTGTATCACCTGGTCCCACTGACGCAGTCTCATGGTGAAACCTGAGCCCTCTTCAGGGACTGGCAGAAATGATACAGTGCTCCCAGAAGCAGAACTGGCTGAGCAGATTTCCATCCAAAACAACAACAAAGTGCCAATAGTATCTAAGAAATTGAGCATATGATTTTTAGATAGATACCTTTCAATAGAACAATTTTTTGTGCCCATAACCGCTTTGCGACAAATATGTCCCGTGTCAACCATTAGACACCAGCAGCCTTCTTGTCCAAAGGCATCTCTATCTGGGTGCCCCTTATCTGCCTTTCAAACGCAGCTGGGAAAGGTGCTGATCTAGTTTGGAGCTGTGAATGCCAGCACATCTTGCTGCCTCCCATTCTGTAGAGAAAGAGGCTTGGGGTACAGGCAGCTCACACAGCACCTCAGCTCCACGCACTAACAAATGCTGGCCGTAAATCTGGATGCTAACAGACAAAAGAAATTAAGGAAGCAACAGGAAACTGAGGAGCAATAAAAAGCACTGAAACCCACTCTCTACTGAGCACAAAGGCTTCCTCCAGGCAAATGTGAGCTGGGACTGTTTTTCAGTTGATGTGGGGAACTGAGGATGAAGCATTAATGTCTGCAGAACTCAGCAAAGTCTTTGAGAAGCCATAAAGCAGCCTAAAGTCCTCTTAGCTAGCAACAAACGCCATACTCTCTAAAATTCAGAAAGCCAGACTTAAATTTTGAGGAATTCCATTGGTCAGACAAGAGGTAAAAAGAAATTTTACCCTTTTCTAGGAATGCATCAATATGCTCTTCTTCAGTGACACCAACAAAGATGGATAGAAGAATCAAGCTGAGAAGCACCACTTGCTGTAAACAAGGAAAGGAAACAAGAAATAAAGCAAATACTTGCAGCACAACTTTGTCCCTTTTGTAGAAAGTGGATCTACAGATTAAAAGATTTATGCCAACACACAGGAACACCTGTCTGGAGGACTCTTGCGAAACAGAGCTGTATGAAAACACAAAAAGATTTTGTGCCAAAATATTTTGTTAATGCATAGAAATGTATAAATAATTCCGGACTATTTCAACATCTTGTACTCAAAAACTCTTCTGTATCTCATGCTGCCGAGTAGCCTTTTAACACTGCACAAATAACAGCAAATATATTTATACCATGACATAAATTTAGATTGAAATTTCAAGTTGCTGACAATTTTGAAAGATCAATCATTTGTCAGAGGTTAAAAATTTTGCAATCATTTTGGACAAGTTGTTTCAATTTCATTTTGTTGTGGATAATGACATCAACTGTCTCTATAGTGGGGAAAAAATGGAAAAACAAGAAAATAGCTGAAACTCAAGTGAAATAAAGTAACATTAGAAACCCAACTGATCAGCAAGCCAAGGTATGAGCTGAATCAGATTTGTCAAAAGCTGACTTCCCTGGCTCCTCATCTGCAGGAGCAGGCACCCACGAAGTCTGACCTGGCCACACCATCTGCCGTTCCACTCCTCTCACTTCAACACGTAAGGGCCTGGTTTGCACAGAGCAGACACAGTACTGCAGACAAAGTCAAGGTGAGAAGCACCTCTCACTCATGTGCTTTTCTCCCAGAGTTGTGCAGACATTTCTGTGCAAGCAGTTTACTTCAGCTGTGTGAACAAATTAGTAAGTAGGCGCTAACTAATTACAGCTGTTCATGAGCACAGCTGCTTCATTTCAGGGCTGGGTTGCAATAAAGTTAAATGCAAGTTAGGAACAAATTTGCACACACATTTTGCATGCAGCTATAAAACTTCTTTTGAGATCACAGTCTGCAAAAGCTAAGTGCTCCTCATCTCATATGATCTCCAGAAAAATCAGAAAATGTAACAAAATTCTCTTAGAACTGTCAGTCTGCACAAATAACATAAGACATACATTAATGATTAACATCGTAGTTCTCATCACCTACAAAAGGAGACTGAAGTGGACTCTGTCCTGCAGCATGGATTACATTTTCAGAAATGCCAACAATTTCCAAAAATGTTTTGGCAGTTGGCATTACATTTTGATGTCAGTGGTACCCTAATCTGAAGGAAGCCCAATTAAAGGAGGCTGCTAATAAAGACAACAGGAAGAAGGGAGCAGAATCTGCCTGTGCGTTTTGCCTGTGTTTATGTTGGGCACATGCTTATAGGTGGTTCTGGTGTGAA